AGATGTCATGAGTATTTTGCTACTAATGAACAACCAGCACGAGTGTTTGGCTCATTTGAAGTTCGTTTGAAAGAGGAAGAACGATATGAACACTATATTATACGAACATTGGAACTGTCGCGGGTTGCTGATCACGATGCAAATGACAACAGTAATGAGTCTTCATCCGTATCGTCGTCCAACGTTCCAAATGCGTTCAGCAGTGAGCCGAAACGAACACTTTTACATTTTCAGTTCATCAGTTGGCCTGATTTTGGTATGTTACTTGTTTATTTCGTTTTAAATTCATTATTCATTTGTTATTTTATCCTTTTTGTTTTAGTAATTCATGAACCATGATTCATTAATCCCGATGAACGAGTGGTATGTTTCTCAGTAAAAAACACCTTAGCTGATCAAAAATGTTGATTTTTTGGTCAGAGATCAAGCATTGCGTAGCATTTCCTTTTCATCTTCAGGAGTACCTCATTGTTCACGTGTATTCCTGGATTTTCTGGATCGTGTTAGGACAACGGGACGTTTAGAGCAACCGTCGCCTGTGGTTGTACATTGTTCGGCTGGTATTGGCCGAAGTGGAGCGTTTGTTGTTGTTGATTCCGTTCTTTCAATGGTAAGCATTTATACCGTACCTTTGTCTCGTCGTACTCCTTATGCACAGCACCTAATCCTATTTCCATTCCTTGTTTATCACTGATAAGCGAACAGTTGCAGTGATATCAATGAGATGTATCGATTCGTTCTTGTCAGTACTTCTATTGAAAATGAGTTGTTAAGAAGAAATAGAAGAGGAAACTTTCTAAACGTATTTATTAATTTATCTTTCCATCTCATATCACGTAATTGCTCAGTCGAAAGCGTCAGTAATCATAAGCATATCTGTGAAGTCGAAATGTATTTGATAGTGTTGGAGTATACAAAAAAGATATGAAATAAGTTGAAAAATCATGTCATTGCTGAATAATGAATTAAACAGATCAACGAGAACGTAACAAGTATTGATATGGAAGAACTGGTTGTGAAGATGCGAAGGTATCGTATGGGATTAATACAAACGCCACAACAGTTGCAATTCTGTTGGCGAACAATTGCTGAAGCACTCAAACTAGAACGAAGCGAAGCGGTGCGTTCAGGGGAACGAGAAGAGGAAGGGCAAAAAGCGCAATGCTCGTCGTCATTGTCGATAGCCAACGAAACAAACAAGTTCATCGATCCACGTCCTACTGGCATCTTAGCCTCAAGTACCGCCCGTTCGGATGGAGGACCACCGCATTTAGAGCGATCTGCTGCAAATCAGATGACTTCAGGTCAACAAGCCAAATCTTTAAATGACATCATAACTGCCGTTCGTAAGCGTTCATCTGGTGAGCAGTTCGAAAGTGAAGAGGATGCTAAGTATGCGAGACGGTTGGTTTTATGCTCCTTATTTTCGTTTTAGTTTGCGATGAACCAATAAACGTATTTTGATGTTTGCTGCACGAAGAGTTGCTTTCCAATAGACTGTTTATCGGTTTGTTTTATCTTATGAGAAGTTAATCGACATTTCTCATTTTAGTTCTGCTAATTACTTTATTGTTTTCAAATAACCGCTGCAACGATTTCTTTTCATCGAACATCTTATTGATTTCATCATTCTACTCTTTTTCCATATGTTGTTTGGATTCGACTTAAATTCATCGCCATTTGTTGGAATTGTACTTTCGCAACAAATCGATACTCATTTTATCAGCAAGTTGCAAAAGTGTGAACAAGTTATGTTCTTACTGCTTCCTGAGCCAAATCTGTATCTTATTGTTTTTCATTCATTATTTAGTTGAGTCAGACTATATCGTGAGAAACTCCCAAGAATGATTCAAGTTTTATCCATATTATGAACGCAATGAACTGTGTAATTGCGATCAAAGCGTCTGCTACGGCCACATCTCTCCACCTATCCAAAAGAAAAACACAACAGATCATCATATTGTTAACACTCGCTTCCCAAATGTTGCCTTATTGTTCAAAGCGTTTCTTTCATACCATTATCCAACTGTTCGATGGGAACCAGTCGCCATTTTCAGTAACATTTTGGATGTGTTCAATGCACGTCTTTGTCTCGTTCATATTTGATCGTTTGTCAACCTTATTAATCACTGTAGTGTTAGTTTTGCAATTCAAGTAGTTTCGCATCATTCCATCATTACAAAATCCATTCGAACATTGGACTGTTTAGTCGGAGAATTTGTTCGAATTTCTCATTATTATAATGAGTAATACATACACATATGTCGTTACGGAACCGTGATGAAAGCAGCAGCATTACTTTGCTTTGTTCTACAGAAAAATGCTTTGTTGATGGTGGATTTGTGTTCCATCCATTTACATGTTTGTTTATTTGTTATTTGATCGATTAATTGAATTGTTGATTGGTAAATGGATGGATGGATGGTAGTGATCAGTTTTGCGTGTCATGAAGTTATGTCTTAACAGCAAATGAAGTTGCTGAATTGAATTTAATGAGCTCGCGCACATTCCTCTCAATTTTCTCTCTTCATCCAACATTTTAACTTCCTTAGCCTTCGAAAACATACAATATTCGTACGAATCAATCGCAGCTTCTATTGCATTGAAAAAAAGGTTCTTCGTCCCCAATTCGTTTTCACTTATATTGATTTGCCGCCGTTCAGTTTTCTATTCCTTTTCATCAGTGTGTTTCTTTGGCAAAAAGCGATAAAATAATGGAATGCATTAAAACAATGATGAATGAAAGATGAACATCCAGATTGGTAGCTTACAATCAAACCTATAAGACAAGGAAATTTACATCAGTATCATGTATTCAACGCAAAGATATTTTTCATTGAATGAGAAACGCACAGAGATTCGAAACATGGTTTTCCACGTAGAGGCTTTTCACTCATACATCTTCGTGATTGAACGTCAACAAGATCGTATGTTGAATGAATGGATGTCATTCGAAAAATTGAACTGTTGTTACCTTCTTCGCTTAACATTGTTTTATTGTTCAGCGTATTTTGTCATCTTATTCTTTAACATCAGTTCAGCGCCTTCGCTGGTGTATTTGTCATCAGTCAGTATTTATTCTTTAACTATCAATCCATCTTAGTGAAAAATCATAATGTTATGATGATTGTTGCATAGAATTGACCATTTGCAGATGGTGGGTTATTCGGGTTCGACCAAAATCGTTTGGTTAACGCCAAACATTCACCATCACAAACAGCAGCAGGTGAATTCCCTCTAGTTTTGGTCAATAATCGTCTACAACCGTTTTAAGCATGCGTTCGCTCGTTTTGTTCATTCAGTGTTGTCTTGTAATACGTTTGTTGAAGTGCTTGTTTCCTTATTTCAGATTCTCGTTTTCATTCAGTCTTATTTATAATTCGTTCAACATTCTCATCTCATCGTTTGTCCCAATTTGATTTATTAATAGTGCGATCGTTTGTTAGCGGTGGATGGAGATTCAGTGCTGCTGTTCCAATTGTTCACTTCGAAGACATGAAAGGACGTGAAAATTTTTAATTATTACAATGTGATTGAAGTGTGTCATGAAGAATAACGGCAAATGCAAGTTGACGAAACGCTTGTTAATCTAATGGTATCTTGTTGTATTTGATATGGAAACATTAATTTACATAGAGCTTTAGAAACAAACAAGCATTTGTTGACGCTTATTGCAAATATTGTCATTCCCATTGAAACCATCGTGAGATCAAAAGATTTCGTTGTTTCCTCTGTGGGACTTCAGTTATTCCAGGTGTCTATTTTATCAAGCTTTTTGCCATCTTCTATTGACGCTCCTAGAATTCCTCAATTGGTGCAAACAAGAATTCGTTTTCTTTACGTTATTCTTAATCTTTCACGGTAACTTTAAGAAATAAACGAAAAACCTGCTGCTCATCATCTTTTGCAAATGTTATTATCATTATCATTCCCATACATCCGATACTTGCCATTATTTCATTGATGATATTGGTCACCACTCGTTTTGGTGTACCAATATCATTAATGTTATGAGCCTGAGCCAGGCTATGATCCGGCTTGTATCTATTATCAAATTATTTTGTTGTGTAGTACGTTTTTGGTCTTGGCTAATTTTTGCGTGGATTGGCGAACAAATTGATGGTGTTATCTAAATACTTCAGAAACGTTTTCATTTGAATTTATTCAACAAAACATAAGATTCAGTGAGAATTGTTTCTCTCATTGGTACGTTTATTGGTCGAATGGATAATCTCGATGATGTATTCTTTCTATGTTGTTTGCATTGTTTCTGGCCGTTTTTAGTGCTTATTGATTTATTCGTATAGAGGAGTTCCGATAAAAGTCATTGTCTCAATTAGTTGATCATCTTGCGAACACTAGATACGTTGTTGAATCAAGAAACAATTTTCCGATCGTCGTATTCAGAAGGTTTTGATTTCACCTCGAAATTATCTGCTGCTTTAGAATCAATTGCAGCTTTAGTTCGCTTTAAAAATTTGTTCGTACATTACATAGCCAGTTCAGTTTTACAGATTTGATGATTAATCTTGTGAAATTTTTGCGCATTTCTCTTGATGTTTCTTTGCTTTTTCTTTCCCAGCTGTATCTACGATCCATTCATGAATTGTTTTGTTTTCTTTTTTTCCTTCAAATGAAGCATGTTTTTATTCTTTGTCTTATCTTCCTCTTGCGTTCTTCCTTAAAGGGCTATTCTAGGGCCATTTACTAGGGCTATTCAAACTAGGCATTGCAATCCTCTCATCAGAAACTAGGCTTATGCATGTCAACAAACGTTGTGTCAACAACTATTGTTCTCATAAGCAATCAAATTATGTGGATCAAGTAAGTTTCATAGTTGAGTATGTGCTATAATGGGTGGTGGTTTCGATTAGTTCTCAATGTTGATGATTGTGATGGAGAAAGGGTAAAGTTTTTCCATGCAAATTCAATGCTTCAGAAACGAGAAATACAATTTTTGTGAGAAGGTTGCATTGCTTTTGAGTTTTGTCGCTAAATTTAGCATGTATTAGTAAAGGGAGGAACAATGCATGTTGTTCGTTTTTGTCGTAATTTCATGCGCATACTATGTAACTGTACCCTTCTAAGTGTCATTATATTAGTTATGATGTGTTGCACTTACATTTTATAGCACGTATGTAGGAGCGCCATTACAAGAAGCGCTAGTTTGCTCATCATTGGCTTCTGCTACTAATAAATTTCATTAAATGTTGCCAGAGCAAATTAAAAATATTAGGTTCAGTTCTAGTCAACTATCAGCAAAGGCTACGCTTGAGCATGAAGAAGCTTGATGTTTGCGAGCGCTCTTTTTTGTGGTGGCGCTTTTGATTGAATGTAGAATTTTACTTGTATTCGCTGTTTTATATTTGTGTGATCGGTGATTGGTTCATCAGTGATGCGCTTAATTTGGTTGCACTGATCTGTGTTTTAAGTTGATGGATGTTAGGAGCGATCAAATATGTTTTGGCATTAGAGCAAAACTGCTTTTAAAGTGATTCTGAAAGTGTAAACTCGATTACGTGGATAATTTTTAGTGATTCAGGCGAGAACGAATTGAAGAGATGCGTGCAAGGCTACGTGAAAGTGAACGTTCCCATCAGCAAAGTCGACTTGGAGGACTCAACATAACATTGAGTCGTCAGCAGATTGGTTACACTTGTGCAACAGTGTTGGTTGCTTTCGCGGCGTTTGCAGTTTATCGCCTTTCTACTTAATGTTGACGTTGACCTTGAACATGGTGCAAATCGCTGATGATGTTTCTCTTTGTGCGTCTTCATTGAACTTTTTCTCATATACGTGAATGCCATCGTGTTTTTTTTTCGTTTGTACGCTTCTCATTTGATCATATTCGAAACGTCATCTACTAATTATTCATTCCATCGGAACTATATTCAGTAACCTCAGATCATTCGTTCTTTTAAATGCGTCAATCTTTTATCAATTCATAAAATAACCATTAAGGATGAATCGGAAAAAATGGAATTAACTGAAGGGTTACCGAAATTTACCACACCATGTTAGATACGGCAATTGAACCACTTGCACACAATGAGTCTTCTCAGAAGTCGTTTCATGTTTTCTCCTCAAAATAATTTCTCTCTCAAATGGTACAATTTTGTAACAAATCTTGAAGCTAGCTTTCTGATGAAATGTTGCTCATTTGATACCCACTTTTGTTTGTTTTGTCTGCTTCTGAAATACGGGTCGGAGACAAGAGAGGCAATCAATTATTAAATGTTTGAAAAGAAGCCATCGTACAATGGCTAAATGATGCAGTTTTGTGATGCTAGTTGTTGAATTTGATCATTCTCGTAATTGAACACAACGTATTCAATGAATTTCTCCGGTGAATCATTTTTCAGCTTTTCGATAGCGAGAACGTTAACGTGACAGCTGTATGGCATCATCACTAAGCATCGTTTGTGTTCAAAATGA